TATTTTTATTTAAAAATAAAAACATTATATTTCTTAAAATTATGTAAATTATTTTGTATCAACAACGATAAAAAAAATAAATAAAATAAAATATTAAAATAAAAATGTATATAAAATTGAAAAAAATGAAAATCGGAACCATAATCAGAATCACAATAACGTCTTGTCTGTGGCGATATAAAACCCTCGAAACCCCTGTCTAATTAGGGTTTAAGGAAAGTGAAAAGAAAAAAAGTGAACATTTTCTCCTTCTCTGCAAAGCCATGGCTCCAGATGCTTCTGATGCTCTTGCAGGTTCCATGAAATTGTACCATTTGTGTTTGGATATATGTGAATTTATTGTTTCTACTGCTTACTGATCATAAAGAGTCTTCTGATTTCAGTGAGGCAGAAAGTCCAGCAGTTTCTGAATGCCGCAGTCAACGGAAATCTTGACTTCTTGAAGAGTGAGTAATTTTTTTTGGATATTTTTTTCAACAGATTTATCGTAAAGCAAAGTGAGTTCTTAATTTTAGGTAAGCGTTTCTTTAATTTGTTGAGTGTTTTTCGTTTGATAGGTGTAGCCGCACAATTGGATGATGGCAAAGGATTATCACAAACAGTGGCAAGTATTAAGGATGCAAATAAACGAGGAGCTCTTCATTTTGCTGCCAGAGAAGGGAAGATTGAGGTCTGCAAGTATCTGCTGGAGGAGTTGAAGCTTGATGTTAATACTAAAGACGAAGATGGTAAATGTTTTCTGTCTTTACAAGTTACAACGTAGGCTGTAGGCATATAATTTGGTATTTGATTTCTCAGCTTGGTGTTTCATTGCATTGTTTTATGATGATTGTTTTTTGGCTGCTCTACTGTTCCTATGGGTAGATACCTAATATATGTGTGCAGAACATGCAAAAATAGATGATATCCAACAAAGATGCCAGCCGTAGTAGAAGTAATTTCTGAAGACAATGTAAATTAAACAAGGGATATCACCAAAAATTTCCAAATGTCAATTTGACTCCCAAAAGATTCCCCTGTTTAAGATATTGAATACCCACAGAGGTGAGAATTGAATTGAATTGAATTTAAGAAGTACTGCTACTGCATGCCTTTCTTTGGTAACCTTATCCTTTGACTTGTTTGAGAATCTCTTAAGATTGTTGGCAATGACTTGCAAAGACAACAATGCAAGAATCAGAAGAAACACAAATCTGCTGCAGGCAAACTGAAAAGTTTAAAATGTAGGAATAGAAGAAAAAATATTCACTATTGGGGAGAAATCTTGAACTACGGGTCTCAAAACGAAATATCTGTCTAACTGCATAGGGCAAGTAGAAAGTCTCTTGAGACCTAGTTCCTTTATTTGCTTATCATCATTACAGTTCACATCAACTAGAAAGATAAACTATAAATTCAAATTAGTATAACTCCAAAATACACGATAAAGCAAATGAACTCCGAATCTCAAATAAATCAAGCCTTATGAAACAACTTTAGGCCTGAATCAGTTAAGCAATTTATGAGCATCTCTGAAAAACAACGAGAAAATCAGAGGTAGTAGGAGGTTGCTGGTGAAGGGAAAGGGTGGTGGCGATCCTGCAGATGAGTTTCCTATTGTCAGTTCAACTTATCGAGCTCTTCTGGGTGAGTAACTACTACACGCACCATTTTTCTATGTTTGGATTCCTTATACACTCACCACCTTGGGTGGATATAAATGGATTTAAAACTGAAAGAGAACCAACAATTAGGCGGAAACTCTACATGGTACTCCACTATCAGATGTTCTAGATTGTTCGGCACTGGCAGAAATGGGGTGCAATGTGATAGACTTTAGAGTATAAAGACATATTCAAGAACGAAAGAGAGGAGGACAAATTAATAAGATGAAGATAAAGCAAGTCTTGGATAAGTCATAAGTCCTCAAGTTTACAGATAACTATCTTGTGTTTATTATAATTGTTTTATTTGTTTTTCTTTAGGATCCATTTTATTCTAGGACTCTTTTACTTATTAGTTTAAATACCTTCATTGTTTACCTTTTTGGAATATAGATCAATTTATTATAATTCAATTCTCTACAATTGAATAGGGAGATACTGCAACCTCTCGAACGCTGTAGGGTTTTAATACTCTAATCCTTGACAACCTTTTATCGACTCTTATCAAATTAGTATCAGAGCCTATCGCTGTTGTTCTGGATTAGTAATCGTGTTACTATCCACGAATCACTGTTCACCAATCACTGTTCACGATCACTATTCGCGCGATAATGACTCGATCAACAACCTCGAGGATGGACGAGGTGGAAGGAAGCTTGGGAACGGTCCAAGCGGAGGTGAACTCGTTGAAGGACGACACATGTGATCAAACAAATGGAAACAATGTTGATATTGCAAGAAGAAGCGCTTAGGAGAACGGAGAAGAGCGGGGGAGATGATGAAAGCGAAGACAATGGGCAACCAAAAAAGCGGACTATCGCGTATGAAAAAACTACGGTACTGGTCGGTTTCTTGCGATAAGAGGGAGGAAACTAGAGTTACCTGTGTTCGAAGGGACAAACCCAAACGGTTGGATATTGAGGGCTGAAAGGTATTTCGCTCTTAATAACTAACCAATGAAGAAAAACTAGAAGTCTCGGTCATTTTTTTGAGAGTGACGCCTTCTTGTGGTTTCAGTAGGAGAATAAGAGGAGACCCATTAGGCTATGGGAAGAATTAAAAGCATTATTGCGTTATCAATTTAGACCAGCGGGGGAAGGATCTTTATGTGAGCAATTCTTGGCCGTTAAGCAAGACGGCACGGTGTCAAAATACAAAAGAAGGTTTGTTATGTTGACAACCCCGTTAGAAGGGATTCCGGATGAAGTTTTCGTTAGTCAATTCTTAAACAGGTTGAGTCCACAAATCAGGGTAGAAGTCCGCACCCTCGCACCGGTGGGATTGGGAAAGGCCATGGAACTAGCTCAGAGGATAGAAGAAAAAAACAAAATTTTAGCAAGAATAAGTAACCCAAAAGGTAGCTGGTTGAACAAGCGTAATGGAGAAGGATCTATGGGAAACAAGGGATTTGTTGAACCCTCCAACAAGAATAGTGGACAGGGAGGAAAATCTGTCGAGGAATTCAGAAGGTTGTCCGATCAAGAACTTCAACAACGTAGGGCTCAAGGTTTATGTTACAGGTGTGATGAGAAGTATTCTCCGGGTCACCAATGCAAAAAGGAGCTTAATGTGTTGGTGGTTCAAGAGGCGGAAGAGTACAACGTCGATGAAGACGCGGAAATGTTGGAGATGACGGTATTGGCGGGGATAGAACGGGAGGAGAAGTGGAAGTATCATTGAATTCAATAGTAGCCTAGTAGGATTGTCAACAACGAAGACTATGAAGCTAGAAGGAGAGGTAGAAGGCCAAAAGGTGGTTGTTTTAATTGACAACGGGGCTTCCCACAGTTTTATAGCCACAATGTTAGTTGAGAAACTCAGGTTATCTACAAGAATCACAGGAGAATATGATATCTCAATGGGAGCGGGAAAAGCCATGAAGGGACGGGGAGTATGTCAAGGGGTGAAGCCAAGTATGTAAGGAATTGAAGTTGTGGAAGAATTTTTGCTTATTAATTTGGGAAACTCGGACGTAATATTAGGCACTAAATGGTTGGCTTCATTGGGACCAACATGGGTGAATTGGCAAAACCAGGTTATGAGATTCAAAAAAGGAGGGGAAACTCTAACCTAAGGACATCCAGCTCTTGGCAGATCCCTAGTTTCATTAAAATCGATGATGAAGACACTAAGGAATGAAGGACAAGGGGTGTTAATTGAATTAGGAAATGTGGAAGCTGAGAACAAGGGTAACAAAACGTTATCGGACAACATGGAGAAACTAATAAAGGAGTATGAGGCTATATTTTGTATGCCAAACGGGTTGCCACCAAAAAGAGGGAGAGAACATGGGATTGTGCTTAAGCAAGGAGTAGAACCGGTCATTGTCTGCCCTTATCGTTACCCGCAATACCAGAAGGATGAGATCGAAAAATTGGTCAAAGGAATGTTGAGTGCAAGAATAATTCAATATAGCCAAAATCCATTCTCAAGTCCGGTAGTTTCGGTTAAAAAGGACGGGAGTTGGAGATTTTGCGTTGACTATAGAGCTTTGAATTAAAATACAGTACCGGACAAATTTCCAATCCCGATAATTGAGGAGTTGCTAGATGAATTACACAGGCTGCTTATTTTTCAAAACTGGATCTTAAATCTGGCCATCACCAAATCAGAATGAAGGAGGAGGACGTACACAAGACCACTTTTAGAACACATGAAGGCCACTATGAGTTTCTGGTTATGCCTTTCGGCTTATCCAACGCTCCGTCCACATTTCAAGCACTGATGAACGATATATTTCGATCTTCCTTGAGAAAATTCGTGCTGGTATTTTTTGACGATATTCTGGTGTACAGTAGGGACGAAAGTGATCATGTAAAGCACTTAAGGGAGGTCTTTAAGGTGCTGTTGGAAAACAACTTGTAAGTGAACAGGAAAAAGTGTGAGTTCGGCCAAGAAGAACTAGTATATTTGGGGCACGTGGTCTCCAAAAAAGGGGTGTCCATGGATATGAGGCAATGCTCAAATGGCCAACACCACAAACTGTAACACAACTAAGGGGATTTTTGGGTTTAACCGGTTACTACAGAAAATTCATCAAGGGGTACGGGCGTATTGTGCAAGGTCTTAAACGGATTTGTTGAAGAACAAGGATTCAAGTGGCAAAAGGCAGCTGATGCAGCCTTCGAAGAATTAAAGAAGGCATTGACTGCAGCCCCAGTTTTGAAGCTGCCAGATTTTAGTCAGACATTTGAAATTGAAACAGACGCATCGGGCCAGAGGGCGTTGGGGCGGTATTAATGCAAGGGGGATAGCCGATTGCATACCACAACCAAGTTTTGGGTCAGGATGCTCGATAGAAACACGTATATGAGAAGGAACTCATGGCCATTGTATTTGTTGTAACAAAGTGGCGAACATACTTGATCGGAAGGAAGTTCGTTGTAAGGACATACCAACAAAGCTTGAAGTTTTTATTGGAGCAAAGTTTGGTCGGACTACAATATCAAAAGTGGTTAACCAAGCTTTTGGGGTACGAGTTTGAAATCATTTACAAGGCAGAAAAGACAAACCAAGCAGCAGATGGACTATCAAGGAGAGACATAGAGTGCTCTACAATGGGGGGGACCTCACTGGAGACAATGGGAGACGATCAAAGAGGAAATAACAAATGATTCATTTCTAAATAGGGTAGTGTCTAAGCTACAAGCACAAGAAGGGGTGCACACATGATTGAAGTAAGGTAAGGTTTATTATGGTACAAGGATAGACCGGTAATCTCGAAGTCATCACAACTGATTCCTATCATTTTGGAGGAATTTCATGCATCACCAATGGGGGGACATTCCAGGGAAGAGAGAACGCATCAAAGAATAGTCTCTGAATTGTTTTGGGTGGGCATGGAGGGAGATATAAGGGAATGGGTCAAGAAGTGTGAGGTCTGTCAAAGAAATAAAAACCTAAGTGGAACACCTGCTCGCTTGTTGCAACCAATTCCACTACCGTTAATGGCATGGGGAGGAATTGACTAAGAATTTTATAGGACTACCAAAATCGGAGGGTGTGGATACAATTATGGTGGTTGTCGATCGGTTAAGCAAATATGCTCACTTCATTCCGTTAAAACACCCATTTTCAGCAGCAACGGTAGCTGAAGTTTTTATATGAGAGATTGTTAAACTGCATGGCATTCCGAACTCGGTGATCACGGATAGGGATAGGTTTTTCTTAGCAATTTTTGGAAGGAGATTTTCCGATTACAAGGTACGAAGTTAAAGTTCACGATTGCATATCATCCATAGTCCGATGGACAAACGAAAGTTGTCAACCGCAACATTGAGTAGTACTTACGGTGTTTTACGTACCATAGCTCCATGCATTGTCAACCGCAACATGGGCTGTATATTGGTACAATACCATGTACCACAGCTCTATTCGTTGTTCAGCGTTTAAAGCATTATATGGGAGAGATGCTCCAACAATATTGCAATTTAAAGAAGGCTCAACTATTGTTCTAGCTGTGGAGCAAATGTTAAAAGACAGAGATGATGCAGTTGATTTGCTACGAATGTTCTTGATGCAAGCAAAACACAAAATGAAACAACAAGCTGTTGGGCATAGGAAGGAGGTAAATTTTGACGTTGGAGATATACTTTTCTTGAAGCTTAGGCCTTACCGACAAAAATCTTTAAGGAAAAGCAACAATCAAAAGCTGTCTGCGCGTTTTTATGGACCATTTAAAGTGGTAGGCAAGGTGGGAGGGATGACTTATCGCTTGGAATTTCCCGCATCTACACGACTCCATCCAGTGTTTCATGTCTCTCAGTTGAGGAGAGCAATCGGATAGTGGGCCTCGTCAACCATATTGCCGAATCAATTGAATGGCGATATGGAAATGATAGTAGAACCGGAAGATGTCCTACAAGTACGAACAACACAGGATGGAAGACGAGGCATTAATCAAATGGAAGAATTTACTTGTGCTTGAAGCCTTTTGGGGAAGATTGTGAAGTGTTGAAGATGCAATTTTCTTCTCATCTTGAGGACAAGATGCAAGTCTTGCGAGGGGGTATTGATAGACTTCAGAGTATAAGACATATTCAAGAAGGAAAGAGAGGAGGACAAATTAATAAGATAAAGATAAAGCAAGTCTTGGATAAGTCATAAGTCCTCAAGTTTACAGATAACTATCTTATGTTTATTTCAATTGTTTTATTTGTTTTTCTTTAGGATCCGTTTTATTTTAGAAGTCTTTTACTTATTAGTTTAAATACCTTCATTGTTTACCTTTTTGGAATATAGATCAATTTATTATAATTCAATTCTCTACAATTGAATAGGGAGAGACTGCAGCCTCTCGTAAGCTGTAGGGTTTTAATACTTTAATCTTGGCAACCTTTTATCGACTCTTATCACAATAATGTTATTCGTTGTACCAAGTTAGCGCCAAGAATCTTAAGCTCTAATACCATGAGAAATGGACTAGCGTTTGAATGCATTATTGAGAAATCAACATATCTGTGAAGTGCAAGAAGTGCTAATAGACTTAAATTACACAGCCTGAAACACAACACCAAACATAGGTTCCAAATATCTTTATATAGGTTTTACTTGTCCTGGAATTGACATTATCGATGTTGTTGGATTTTTTTTTTTAGGGGGGGGGGGGTTGATGTGATAGTAAAATACCCCTTGTTGCTTGCTAATTTGTGGATTTGGACTAATTCTTGATGGTTGTATTGATGACAAACATCCTCAATTGTGATGGAAACATTGTCACAGGATAATACCATTCTTATGATGCATTGGATGATTCTGCATATAAGCCTCGTAACATAATGTACCCTTGTATTTTAGTCTGTCTTACGTCTCAAATAACGAACAGGAAAATTGTATATTTGGATATCTTGTGCCATCATTCTCACCTCTGATTCTGTTTCTGCTGATAATTTTGCTTTCTGAATCTTTGGTTTTTCTTGTTCTAATCTGAAAGTCAAATGCTGTTGTAGCATGCATGCTTGCTTCAAATCACTGTATCCAAATGGGTGGTGGTTTTGCATTTACGGTTGTATGATCATGCTTTATTTCCAAATCTTTCATTGTTTCAGGTGAAACCCCTCTTATCCATGCTGCAAGGCAAGGGCATACCTCTACTGCCAAATACCTCATTGAACATGGTGCTAATCCTGCACTATCGAGCGAACTAGGTGCTACAGCTCTACATCATGCTGCAGGAATAGGTGAGTTGTTTTTTTGGTTCTCACTTCTCACCTCTCACTTCTTGTAGATGCAATTTTGGGTGAGTGTCTTCTTGTTTTAAAATTTTCATTCATCTATAATTGATGACCCAAAATTATACTGTATTTGTGAAATTGTAAAATTTTGGTTGGAACTAAATTATTGTTTGCTTTGGAGTTTTAAATGGCAGTCCTAACGCTAGGGATCCTTTGATATCAGCAACCGTATTAATAAGGCTTATAAGTAAGATTTAATGATGAGTGTGAGTAACTAGGGGGCTTCCACTATTTTTGTTGTTTGGATTCTATCATGTTTTTGAATAGTAGCCTTTTGTTGCTTGCATAATCTTTCCACTTTTATAGACATTAGATCGTCACAACTGCCTATTGGATGCAAAAACTTGTACCATTGTGACAACAATACTACTTCTGCTATGCTTGTACTCTGTTTGCTACAAGTTTACAAGGGGTGTTGTTGGGATGATAAATCATGGCCCGCGAAACAAGCTTTCTTATATTGTTATCATGAAATATAGTTTTGTTACATGCACCATATATTCGAGGATTGCTGTCTTCAGACCAAAAGATTGAAACTACAAAAGACCCTTTAAAAGAGAATCATTTGCACACATAATAAAATATATTAGTTTAATAACTTTGTTCTCTACGATAAAGGATGAACATTTCTTTAGGAAAAAGGCATTTTTGTTATTTATTTGCCTGAGACATTGCTGGGTAAAACCGAAGGAACAAATTGTTACACATAAAATGTTCGGGCGAATTTTGCGAAACCTTTTCACAGTGACTGATGTTTTATTTTGTATCAGTTGACAACTTATTATCGTTATTAATAGCTAGCTGTTTTATGTATACAAATTCTTTCTTTAAAGCCTGTACTAATGGACTAAATACAAATAGAAATGCCGTCTTATAAGATGAGAACTCTAAATACATATATGTTTGAAGAAAAACCAATGGCCTTATTTACTTAATTGAGAATGTCTTGCAACGTTTGCAGGAAATATTGAGTTGATGGAGTTCTTGATCTCCATTGGTGTTGATGTTGATTCACAAAGTGACTCTGGTACCCCACTTGTCTGGGCTGCTGGTCACGGGCAGCAAGATGCTTTAAAAGTTCTATTAAAACACCATGCTGCTGTAAGACTTCATTGATTGCTGCTTCTTGGGTTTTTAAATACATACCATGAATACTTATTTATTATTATGCCTATGATTACCTCTCTGATTGCAGTTTGTATGTTCTTACAATCTTCCTCTTAGAGGTGTATGTTTGATATGCATTGCTGGGGGTTATGTTTCTAACAGTTTACAAGCTTTCTATTTTCACATGAGTTGTAACATGTAATTTTTTTTACTTATTGATTTATGCTTTTCATGAATTTCCACATTTTTAGTGGACCACATTTCTTCCCTTTAGCAGTCTTGTATGTTCAGAGGCCCCCTAAGAGACTAACAGAGAGAAAGAAAGAGAGCGCATGAGAAGATAAAGGAAGAATTAAGCAAGGAGAAGAAAATTGAAAGAAAATGAAACATGAGTTGACTGATGCTATTAATCTATCATATCTTAATGTGGAAATAAGTATCTTGTCCACAATTGACAAATAAAGAGGGTACACCAACCATGAACTTGACATAAGCTTCACTACTATCTCTTTCTATTTATATTCATTCAACTATATCTTTTTCTTTTATGGTACGTTCCTCATTTGTTAACTGTTCAACTATTTACTTTCTTCACCTAGGTTACCAGTGTAGCCAACCTCCCTAGAGGTCAAGGGTTCAAGCCTTGCCAAAGGGGAGGAGTGTGTATGCGTTTTGTCATATATAAATATTATATATATAAAGAAGGAAGGGGGGAGGGTTTCAGTACATTGAACATCTGCTCCTGATGTTGCATGTAATACGTGCATCAATGTATGTATGTGAATATGTATATGTATGTTATAAATATGTGGTGATTGTTTTGCAGCCTAATATTGAAACTGATGATGGCATTACTCCTCTGCTATCCGCGGTAGCTGCAGGCTCGCTTCCATGTTTAGAGCTCTTAATTCAGGTATATTGAATTCTATTGGGGTCCATTGTGTCACCGTTGCCTTGATGCTCATTTTATGTCTTCTTAGGTCAAGTAATTCTTTTTGTCCCTTTCTTGGTGTTGCATTGAAAGATTTTTTTATACAATTGGAATGATGGCATACTACAAGTTATCAAAGCTCCATTTAAGGCAAGTGATGAAGGATATCATTGGAGCAGCTTGGGCAAGAACAAGTGCCTATTAGGATCATCACTTAACTCATTCAAGTGGCACCCTTGCTTGGAGATTCTAGCTGAAAAATTGCCTTGGAATGAATTGGAATTCCTTACATATATACACCCACAAAAACACATATGCACTTGCTGAACTCTTAGGACCTACTGCAGAGAATCTGGGCAAGCTAACACACTGGCTACATGTGGATAGAATGCCAAAATCTCATGCAACCAAAACCTATTCAATTAGAAGACTAGAGGGCTCATTGTGTTCTAAATTATAGGGGGAGGAAAAAAGTAAATAAATCGTGAGGGAGCAGTGTATGGGATGGGTAATTGGTGTGGATGGATCTATACCCTTAAAAGGTTATAATGACAAGTAAATCATGCAAGTATACATGGCTTACAAGTATCGTTCGAATCAAGTAATAATGGTAAGTAATACCTAATATAGTTCCACAGAGATTTAAAATGCTAAGAGAGTCACAAAAGTAAACTTTAAAGTGAGATTTCAGAAAAGGGTTTTTGGAAGCAATAAAACTTCAGAGAGGAAATATCTTTGCGAGAGTTGGTAACCAAATACTGAAATAAAACAATAATTAAAAGATAATATGGATGCAAGATCAGGTTGGATTTCATCAACGAAGTTTAATGAATATCGCTCTACAAATTGCTCTTTACAACACTACTGGATTGAACGGCCTTCCAAGGAAGTGTAGATTAAACCATATGTTGGAAGTGCACTTGGTGATGCATCAATCCCAAAATAGTATAGATCTTGCCTTTCTTTCCATATAGTTTTGCAACCCATAAGATTACGGTGACTCTTTATAACCCCTATAATACATTTAGTAAAATATTTGCATTGTCTTAATTTTAAGTCCAACTCATCTGAATAAAATAACATTTGTCAAAGATTACCAGATGAAATATTGATACCACCTGTGAATAGTGAAATAAATTGCTATTAACGAGCAAACATCAACTAACACTTGGCGTATTCTCACAACCTTCACTTACACCCATACTAAGGTATTTAGCCTAGCATGACTGAATGTAAGTGCTTAAAAGTAAATGACAAATGGAAAAGACTGAATGTAAATAACGTAAAAGTAAATCTTGCACGAAAAGTAAAGAAAGATGGAAAGGTTGCCGTAGCAACAGATAGGAATGAAGAACACTGAAAAGCACTTGCAAATTAAAAAGTAACAAGGAACCAAAGCTTAGATGAAGCTTTGTTCCTGATGACAATTGTTTCCAAAAGGTTATGCACGACTCTTCACACACACTTATGTTCAAAGGATTACACACCACTATATATCCTATTAGGAGAGAATCAAAAAGGTACAAAAAGGGGTAATACCCAATGGTTAATAACCAAGGGACAAAAGAAAGATGCGTAAGTACAAGACG